GGGACTACCGTGCTTCCAAACGATATTTCGGTCAGCTGCAGTTAATCTTGGCATTTTTCGATCTCTGTTCACGTCAGAAAAGTCGTAATGAACTGATACGTTTTGTCTTTTATAATCATTGTCTCTACTCTTGTTTCAAACTTTTGGCACCTGCATTGTGTTGCAAACTTTTTTTAAAAGCAATTTCCGTGCATCCTTTGCATTTTTGCTGATAAACGTTTACCAAAAAATAATGTTGAAATATGTTTGCGCACAGTGCACAAAAAACATGACATGGTTAACGGGAATCAAACATAAGAATTTACTTTATGACGATTGCTGGGGAAAAAAAATCTAATTGGAATTCTCAAAACACCTATACGTTTCTTTTTTTCAAGAGTGTATTTGGATAAAGATTTCTATTTTAATCATCATGTTATGTGATCTAGATTGAAAAAAACGCTTGCAACCATATGTAATGTTTATGTACGTTTTAAATATGTTTTGCAAGCTTACAGACCATCCAGACGTACACGATCCGCAACGGGCTGTGAACATGACCAGACGTTATCAAACTCACTGAATAAACTTAGTTATTTCAATTTTGTTTAATCAGAAACAATACAATTGTTGACCTGCAGTCAAAATGTTGTATTAACGATCTTCTTCGATCTACGTAACCCATGATCCCTGAATTCCAAAATTAGTGACAATAACAATATAGTGTCTTAAATAGCATTTCACTGACATCGGTACCACATGTACAAAGTGTCAGTTAAATGTTTGCGGCAGGACCAAAGCAACGTGGTTTTCAAGTAATGGCTCGGGATAGGATGGGAACGCTAACGTCAACGGGTACCGAGCCAAATGCAATATCTCCCAGCTCCTTGAGGGGAGCCATAATGACACTAAGGAATGCCTGATTTTGATTGGAAAAATAAGATTAATTATTTTAGATACCTCTATATTAACGAGTGTTTTAGCACAAACGCTTGTTTGTGAATACATCGGTTTTCTGAATCCCTACATCTTGATCAATAAAGGAATTAGAAATCAACACTTCGAAATCGGAAATAGCAGATGTTTTTGTTACTCACTGATACACTGAAAAAGCACTTGGTCAGAACAACTTGCGATGACACATATTCAAATAAATGCGAAAAAACCCTCTCCACATTTTACTGATTCATAATGATGGGGTAAATAAACAAAGCTCGGCCGGTGGCAGGGCATGTATTATATAAATAAAAGCGACAAAACCCTGTCCATATTCGTAAGACATATCTGTGAACAGAAGAGTCTATTCTATCATGGTCATGTGTTTATGAATCACTATAAAATCGTGATGATGCCAGGTGTTCACGAAACGGTATGCTTATCCTGCTTCTTATTTTAAAGATTATTTTCGGAGACAGTTGTTTCGTTGACAGAATGACTAGCAGGTGTATTTGTAGCTGTCACTTTACGTATCACAAATCTTAATCTTACAATTCAACAAAATCTGTTGTTCAAATGTAAAAAAACCAAACAACAGATCACTTATTTTCTCTTTATGACAGCACGCAGTTGTTGTTGTTTACTTAAGAAGTAATGTATTGCAAACAATATGGGATTATATTCATAACTGATTATTTACCATTACCTGCTAATTAGTATCCTTGATTTGTCAGCGTTTTAACCTTCTCGTTGATGTCATCAAAGTGGTATATTTCATCTCTCATTACACCATACTTACTCACTCACTCACTCACATCTAAGCATCAGTTAATCATGCCAACCATATTTAAGAAAACATTTCAGGAGTTACATAGAGTCCACTTATGATAGGTTCAGTTTGAAGCTGGACACAGCAAGGTGGACGTATTGGACTCTAACTTGTCAATTGAGGCTCGCATGTTATCCCCTTTACTTGCATTGCAAATTAACAGATGTATAGGTCAGGTATTTTGTGAATATATTAACAATGAATTGTGTCCAGGTTACTCATGAGACATTTACAGGTGCATGTATTTTATGGAAATAGTGAGACTATATTGACATTTATACCAAAGTATTGTGGCCGCTGTGTTGAGTTTCCAAATCAAATAGGGGTATTATGGTGTAGAATTAGACGCATCATGGTTGACAACATACGTAGCCACACTGAAAATGTTCAAAGTGTGCATAACTGTTAAGGTTCAGACAAAGTATGGACTTTTAAAAAGAAAATTGGTGTTGCATTTTCGATGTCTCACGTGTTTGTTTTCTTTTTGGTTACCCCAAGGCAACTGACCATGCCCCTGTCTGTGCTTTTATCACCATTTGAGCACTTTAATACCTGTTATCGTCTCCTGAAATGAGAAATGGCGCAGCGACAGTGCTTGCCGTTGCTCATGCTATCGATCAAGGGAATTTATCCGAGTATTTGCATATCGTCGTCATGGAGCTTGAATATCGCTGAATACCAAACCAACAACAAAAAGCAGAACAAATTACTTGTGGGTAGTAACCAACTTCCTGCACTAGGTTTGATTGAAAGGTCTACATCATTTATTCATTCACTTTTGAAATACTACATACCACACGTGCCTAGTTTCATTCTCATCTCCCTGGGGAGTATACAACCCGAGCTGCCTGTGAGGCGCTAGAAGGTTAACAGCCACATTACCATCTCATCCTAAAAGCGAGAAAAACATTTTTAAAATCATAAAATCTATAAATTGTCAATGCAAGAGAATAACCAGTCTAGATTAACTGCCAAAACATTCCTTTCGACACCAGACATCTCTGCTAAAAGTCCTCTGTACGATTTCGACTATATCCTAAGCATGTGTATGAATCACTTCAAATATAGTGATGATACCAATAGTGATGACATCCTGCCCCAATGGAGGCACCGTCACAAACACATGCGAATGCAAGCCCTAATAGTCTCGAGCTACTGGAATATTTCACGACGTGAAGTTGACTATTGAAAAGTTGAAGACATTCCTTTGTCGTACAGTCTTGTGGGGAGTTTTGTTGTATAGATAAAACAGGTGTCGTTCTATTGGTCTCCTATAATTCTAGTTGAGGTGGGTAAATCAGGGCAAGATGAATTTATCATTATTGAACGATACCTGATCATTGATACAACTGAAGCTTCTGTTAAATTGTCTTGTTTTAGATTAAATAATTTAATTTAATATTTTCTGTGAATATAAAGAAGGCACTTCATTGATTGTCACAAGGATTATGGTGGTTAATCTTTGGGACATTGATTTGAGGATACGTTTGCTTGACCATCTAAAACATCTCTCTTTGTACGGAGTTTTATGGAGCCTTGGAATCCAGTACAAAAGAAGAATAGACATGTCTACAGGTGTTTGTGTCAAGCCAAATAATGATAGAACTGATGTATGTTTTGGGCAAAACTGGTTGGAGGCTGCTGACGATATGTTGGTCCATATTTGAAAAATGGACGAAGGTATTTTTGTCAACAATAGAGAAGTCACCTGCAGGTTGGTGACGGTACGATAAGTCTTAGCAGACAAAAAAGTAGAATCATGAGCTGCCAAGTCGACGTTGTGCAACACGTTCCTGAAGTTAAACAACGTAGCTGAAATGGTGTTCGTTCAGGAAATTGAAACTGTTGGTGATTCCTTAAATTTGAAATATTATGGGATATCATGGGAAACTGATCTTTCTGTCTACTTAAAGTTAAGGCATCGATATCAAGGACTATACGTTCTTTTCGATACTTTGGTCTCTTGTGTTTAAACTCATCAGCAAAATGTGACCCAGGTTATGATTTCGGCTTTTTCATAAGCATGTGTTAATGAATCACCATCAAATCACCAGAGAATATCGTTATCATTTTGTTTTGAAAAGGAGACACATAAGCAATCAAAAATATTTTTTTTATATAACAGAAAATGAAACACATTTAACTAAAACAGACTCTTTTTGTCGAAAATCTTAAACATAGTATGTAATACTGCAATAACGTTGCATTAGGGCAGATAGGCGAACATTGATATCGCAACTGATATCATAGGAGTACTGAGAAATGTGTTGTACATCAGTTTCAAGTAATTATCACATTTGTCAACTATATCGTTGCTAGTCATAGATGCCTCCAGCAGTCCACGTGACCCAAATCCAACGTAGACTATATCGTTGACGTATTTGTTAATTTATTGAAGCGGCATTATAACTTAAACTCACTCATCATTAGTGAGAGATAATTTTATTCCTTCCTTTGTTTATTGTTTTTTCCTTGCCAAGCGAAAATGAACACCCTTAGGAAGTGATATTTTAATAACTTGTATTGCTGATGTCAGCACACACTGACAACTGGCATTTTACTGTCATATTCCAGTACATATAGCTTGTGTCACAAAAGAAAGAAGTCGTTATTATCGAGTGATAGGTTATGGTGTATTCGAACAGTGGGACCTTTGCAGTATTTAGAAATATTTCATATCACGTAAATATGTAGTTACAAAGTGGACATACGCACGTGCTTTGTCACTTTTTCCACTCTTCAAGGAAAGCTTTTTCCTGCAGCAGTATCGGATCTGGCATGCGGGGTTTATAGTTCCATTTCTGCCCTGGTTTGCGGGTAAGAGAACATAACGTGCATTGGTCAACATGTCCGGGTTCGCAAAACATAGTTTAAACAAAAGTGAAATATTTTTGAAAGTAAGAGAAACATGTATTCAACTTGAACTTGTAGCCTTATACGTGCAGGGCAGTCACCATACATTATACATTTGAATATACAGAGAGGATATCTGATCAATGCGTTTCCTTACTCATTTTCTGGGACTATTTCTTATGATCTCCTTGTTGACCGAAAGCATCTTATGTGCACGTTATAAAATACTTGATCTACTTTTTTTAAGATAACAACTCACAGTAAATCTACATGTCAGCCGCATATAAGTCATGGATAAGAGCAACACAGTACGGAATGTTGAAAACAGCAAGCTGTAACAAGTTAAGTATGAATAAGTTTTTTCTTTTGTCTCCCCTCTTATTCTCCACACTCAACCGTCGCCAATAAGCATGCATGACGTTGGTCTCCAAGACTACATCATGGTATAAATGGACAAAGGCGCAGTAGACATTACAGAGCGGTCAGAGAAGGGAAAGAACATGCAGCTGTTAAGAGTTCCACTCTGCTTACCTTTACTGGGTGAGTTGGCCGTCATGAAAACATTTCCTTTTTCAATGTGTAATGATTATTCTAACGTTTAATACAAGGAAGTAATGTGGGGAACGAATACATAAAAGAGTCATTAAGTAATGTGCATTAAAGACTAAAATTATCTACTGGTAGAAATGAAAATGGGGAAATATTTCTCCTTAAACTTAAATAACAAATGTATACAGTGTGACAGATTCCCATGAACATGCATATACACTAATATAGGAATCGTCACACATTATCTCTGTTCTTAGTATTAACATGCTTGACAGTTTTACATGGCGTCTATGAAGTATAAAGCATTAACGACTGACGATGAAAATTGTTAATATATTTATTCTTACATTTAGCAACAATTAAATTAGCAAACATGTTAAACATAATAATACAATAATAATACATGAAATTTCACACTTTATGCCCTTTCTTAGTTTTAACATGCTGGGCAGTTCTTCATGGCGTCTCAGGGTCGTGCTCGAATAACGGTGATTGCCAGCATTCAGGCACATGCGACACAAGCGCCAGCACCTGTGACTGTACTCATACTGGGTATGATGGTGACAACTGTGAAAATGGTAAATATGTCTCAAGTAGTTAATTCTACTATGAAAATGCAATGTAGTTATTCAACGAAATCTATGACTTTTGGCAAAAAAATTAAACATGGGATTTAAGATAACGACGTGTACATGATATGCCAAATCTTTATTTATTTGTGCTAGTGATACATGTAGGTACATAAGGATTACTAAACGAGTACCCGGTGGAATAAAACAGGTATCTGACGTGAAAGAGCAGTGTAATTATGTAAATGTAGCTGTGTGTAATTATACGTTTATAAAAGATACAACTGATGACATATTGGTGTATGAGTACTTACAAACTAAATGTTTCCATCTCACTAACTTTCCTTTAAGCTACTGCGCCGAAACATATATGTTAACATAACCGCTGTCCTTCCAAAACAAGTTTCGTGAACGTTCACAGCTCGTTATCACACACATTAAAACAATCAGTTGACAAAATAACATTCCCGCATTTTTACATTCAAGGCGTGTTGGTTAAAAGGGAGGCTACTCTCATTTGAAACATGATAGTCTGGTTCTTCATGGTCTGGTTCGTACGTACTGGGTAAGATGAGGTTGCTGCACATTCCCCAATTATGTAGTCATGTTAGTCAGTAAATAAGGGATCTTTGAATATAAACATGCTCCGAATTTTGGAATGATTTCAGTGTAATCAGGTGGTGAACATCAGCACATACTATCGATCGTGCACTAAATTGTTTAAGGACTTGTCGAACAATTGTTTGCGATTTTAGCGTGAGGACTAGGACCAATGTTTAAATGTTTTTGCAAGGTGGCTCGTGTTACATTGATTTACTCGTTTGTGTTTAATACATTCGTTTGATAGGATCATTTTTCAATATATTTTCCGATGTCGACCACTACGTGTCACGGGCGAATGGATTCTAAAGTGAGTGAGTGAGTATGAATCCGGTATTTTACAGATATAATTACTTCAAAATACATTTGTGGTTATGCATTGTTTGCACTAGATATCGATGAATGTACAGCCACTGATGTGTTCGACTTTCTCACATTGCTGTATGGCAGTCTGACATATCTACAATTGATGTTCCAGGAAATGAAATTGTGATTGTCTGTTTGTTTTTTCTGTATACTGTGATAATGCACAATCGGATTGTTTCCATATCGTATCAGAGGACAGATCATTTCTTTTCATTTCTTGGCAGACATTGATGAGTGCAGTACAAGTGCTGATGTCTGCGATACAAACGCCGACTGCACAGACACGGAAGGATCCTTCACCTGCACATGCAAGTCTGGCTATGTTGGAGATGAAAAGACTTGCACACGTGAATACATATTAAGATTTTTTCGTATCTTACATTATTATATTGTTGACAAGCTCTTCCGCGTTATAAAATGTCAAAATTGAATTTATGTCGATATTCAGTATATGTTTTGACTCTTTGCAGTAAGCAAGTGTGATGATACTATTTTTTGCATATTCCTCCGTGTTTTAGTTGGCGTGTGCTCCTCTAATGGCAACGAATGTTTAAATGGTGGGACATGTAATATCCCCTCGGGCGAAGCTGCTAGTACATGTAGCTGTGCAGCTGGATATACTGGTACACTTTGTGAAACCGGTAGGTACATCATGTATAAATATGTTTTTCTTCTTGTTTTTAGTACACATAATTATTATCAGTACAATGTTTTCATTATCGTGTTCATTTCTTGATAGACATTGATGAGTGCAATACAAATGCTGATGACTGTGATACAAACGCCGACTGCACAGACACGGAAGGATCCTTCACCTGCACATGCAACTCTGGCCATGTTGGAGATGGAAAGACTTGCACAGGTAAATATATATTCAGCGATGGATTTTCTGATACTGTTGTATAGAAATCCGATTTGTCCACCATTGATGCTCCAAGAAACGAAACTATGTTGGGCCATGCAAATGTGTATGACTGAAGGACGGAATGAAAATGGAACGAAACAGTCTCAATACAGAACCAAAAAGTTTCGATGGTATTTCGAACATTCTTCAGTTTGTACATTTCTACAATAACACAATTTCGAGAAAAGATATCAAAATATAAAATCTTTCTGTACCATCGTATCTCTTATTTAGATATGACAACAGAGTGGACTAGAGATTCGTAATAACAGATGTCGCGTGACAATCACTGAACAGACATGTATGATAAATATGAGGTCACATTTTTCGTTTTCATAGCCAATTAATACATTTCGAATTTACGTCAACCACATTCTTTTAATCGAGGTCGTTTCTAGCCGAGGTTGGCAGAATCATTATTCTCTTGAAATATTTTGTTACAACTGTCCCTGATATTTCTGTGTTACAACAACCCCAACTTTTATTTCCATAAGTACAATTGTGTGAGATCATGCTGTCGAAACTGTCGATAGCTGTGATTAGTAATCTTCTGCACCTTATGTGTAGTATGTCCATCAATAGACACACGTTTTCAGCTTGACTCCATACTACTTGTAAACCGTGTAAAGAAGAGTTTTAAATATTTTGTAACTGTAAACGTAGTTTATTTCAAGTCTTTTGTTGTATCATTTTTAGTTTCTTTGCGGTCCCCCATTTCTAACTTGTCTAAATGCAATATCATGAAGATCCTGGTTAGAATTGGTCTTCAGCAACCCATGCTTGTCGTAAGAGGCGACGTTGTGGTCACGCTCGCTGACTTGGTTGATACAATTGCGTAGATCGATGCTCATGATATCAGTCACTAGATTGTCTGGTCCAAACTCCATTATTTACAAACTGCTGTCATATAGCCGAGTTCGGCGCTAACCAACAAACAAACAACAACTAAATGCAATATCGGTCCCCATTTATAACGAAGTTTCTTGAGTGTCAGTTTGTTGCTGTAATTGTCCAACATAATTTGCAGAGTTAGCAATCATCAGAATCTAATAGCAGATATTTGGGACTTCTTCTGACATAAATATACCTCTGCACCAGCAAGCGTTCATTTGTGCTATTAGCTCCTTGATATAGAATGAGAATAGAATTGGACTCACCATACTTCCATGGCTGTACCCACACGAAGGGACAGTTTTTTCCAAAATGTATGCAAGACAAGAAATGAACGTATAATCCGTATGAGCCAAGTTGAAAAAGTACGTATCATTCATCCGACACATTTGCACAGATTATGGAGGTCTTGAAATATATAAACATTCAAGTGACTATGACGAAAACCGATCCTGTTTCATTGAATTACTCGATTACTTGATTATTACAATCATTTGATGTCATAATTTACCTCATCAACAACTATCAATCTGGGATGAGTACAATCTTTTTTCTCCTCATTTTCCAGAGGGTGTATGTTCTGAGGGTGGGACAGAATGCGTCAATGGAGGAGCATGTGACACAAGCAGCACCCCCACCAAGTGTAAATGTGCGGACGGTTACACAGGAGACACCTGTCAGAATGGTGGGGAAACATTTATTATAAAGCATGTTCATGTGAATATTTCAAAAAGCGTCATAAGACTCTTGCTCAAAAGTTCCTTGATCAGGGTTACAACATCCACGACCTCAGGGAAGCTTTCAAAACGTTTTAGTGTAGATAATATTATGTGGAGGAAATTTCCAAATTTGACGCGTCAATGACCATGGTATCCGATGCAATTTCCTGTTTTCATTGCATGTGTTTGGGATGGTGCCAACGAGTCTGATGACGCTCCTTGAAATCTTGGTAGAAAGAGCATGCTCGATTGTATCTCAAAAGTTGCGACTTGTAAACACTAAATCCTGGAGCTGCTGGAATATGGCTCGATATGAAGGGAAAGTTGACTATTGTAAAGTCATCCCTCATGTCCATACAGTCTTGTGGAGAGTGTTTTGTCACTCTGAATCTTCATGTACAGATCTAAATATGAAACTGTTGTGGCGGTCTCACTGGTCTCCTTTATTTCTAGTTCAGGTGGGTAAATCAGTGGAATGGAATTGGCTATTTCATTGTTACTGAACGATATCAGATCATCGATATACCTGAAGGTTAGGTTTATCAAATCGTGACGATACCAGGTGTTCGCGATACGGCGGCCTTAAATGATCGAGTCTGGACCAGACATTCCAGTGGTTGACACCATGAACATCGATCTATACAATTGGGTTACGATACCAAGCATCAACCAAGTTACCGATCTTGACCACCCGGTCCCGTTAGTTACATCTTACGACAATCATGATTTGCTAAAAGCCAGTTCTTAACCGGATCTTCGCGGGTCTCTCAAACATGAAACACCCGAGGCGGTAGGGAGGTAAAACAGTGGAGTGGCTATGATGGTTATTGAACAATATCAGATCATCGATATACGTAAAGCTTAAGTTAACACATGCTTATAGTCGGGATCGTACAATTGACTTTCTTCGGCTTTCTGTAAACAAGGTTATCTTCCGTATTTAATTATTGAAATGGTTTTGTGGTTTTAATATATATTATCGAACCCAAATGAAATATTGTGAATTTTACATGTCATAGTGACAATATAATGAGAAACTACACATATTATGTTAAGTGTCTGACCCAAACCCCCGACCACAAAAGCTGCCTGGGATTTAATCTAAAGAAATATTGTTTATATACTAGTACTGTTATATGATTGGATCTTTAACCATCTGACTAATGTGATGTGGGAAGATCTCTAAAAGCAGTGGTTATCATCACATACACAATAAACAATTGACAAGTTGTTAATTAGGTGCAGAAACACAAATGGTTCGTGAGTTTTCCTCTTGAAATGAATCCTTCTTTGATTTGAACGTAACGTAATATTGTCGTAAATATTCGAAATAGCAAAAGGCACCTGTTTAAGCGTAGTTTGATACATGTGCAAAGTTTGATCAGGAAATATTAAACGCCCTTTGCTTTACGCAAAGGAAACAATGTCTACAATCATTGGAATTTGGAAATCACGAGAGATGAAAATGCGAATTTTAAGGAAAAAATAAGTGTTGATACAGCCATAGTTCACATAGGTTAAAATTTCATAAATCTGTTCCATAAATTAATTCCATTTTTGTCGGTACACGTTCTCTTTTTCAGTTGGAGGTACGGTGAAGATTTCAGCATACTTAATGGCGTTGACTGTTCTCACCTTTTTCGTCATCCTGTGAAATGACCACAAACTGACTGCCGCAACCTGCTGGAACTGAGTTCTTGTTTGAGGTGTTGAAATGAAATATGCTTATGAACGATATTAGGGAACAGAATTTGGGCGAATCATGGGACATTCGGCAAAGTTTTCATCACACCAGATACTAAAATGTCACGCATTGAAATTATTTTAAATCAAAGATATTTACTTTTAAGGAAACATTATTCTGCTATAATTACAATTTTTCGTTATTTTGCTATATGTGTATATCGTTGCTAACTTATTCCGTTTTGTTCGAATCAAAGTATGCATTAGTTTGTTGTGTTCACTCTCCTTTGTTCTATTACCATAAAATGGTGACATTTGATTTACGTGGAAAAATCACTGACTATGTACTGATTGTTATCATCTCACTGTAGGTAAAAAGGCAAAATTCCTCCCTGCATACTTCGGCTACTGATCACATGTTACTGATGACGTGGACCTCTCTCCGAGTGACCACTGACACAGAGTGAATGTGATCTACTTTTTACCTATAGTGACACTCAATATCCACTTAAAAATCTTCAGATGCACAGTAATGTTTTATTTCCTATTTTTGTAACTCTTAACGAATAAACATCACCTGCAAGTTGAGTTGAATTTATTTCTCATCGTTTTCATGAAGGCAGTCGCCTGTTAGAAGTTATTAAACATTTAACGTCACACAGGCAATATCTCAGCCATGTAGCGACCAGAACATATTACATACTAATACAAATAAGTTTTTTTGTTTGGTATTTAACCACACACTCAGCACCATTCCAGCAATATAACGGTGGTCTGTAAATGATCTAAGAGTCTGGATCAGACAAACCAGTGATTGATATTATCACGCCGTCGGGATGCAATGACACGCTGTCAACCAAGTCACCGGGTCTGACCACACTATTCATTAAGTCCCCTCGAGCAACAAGCACGGGTTACGAGGGATCCATTCAAAACTCTTGTTGGAGAGACAGGGCCAAGCAAAACGTGTAGATAACTTATGATGGGCCAATTAAACCACGTGGTTCAAACACACATTCACGATGTGTTATACACATACAGTATCTTTAGATATTACCCGGGTAAAACAAAACATGTTTTCTGCTTTATGATACGAGACTCTACGTATTTAAGCCCATAGTCTTAAAAGGGAAACGCTTTTGAGCCCATGCGCTTAAAGTTATTTGAAACATTGATTGATCTTCCTTTTCCAGATGTTCTTCAACAAGTTTTGTAGCACACATCATTATGGCCAGTTTGCACCTTAAGCGTTGTTAGAGGTTTCCAGATTTACAAGACACACTGGTCCCTAACGTAGGTGATATTCTGGATACTCAGACATTTTAAACACATAGGACAGACACGCATTGCTGCAATATTGGTTTGTTGATATGTATTTACAACTTCCATTGATCATTTCAATTGTGAACGTTGAAAAAGAAAATCATGTCTTACGCTCTCTTATTTCATTTGAGTGTTTTGTTTCATTAACGTGGGATATTCATTCTTCCTATCATGTTTTTATCCTTATCTCTTTTAATCCCTGGGTTTTAAATTTGGATAAGCTGTTATGCAATTAGAATAGACAATAACCGTTATTAAACTCAGTCCCCATGTCTGATCGAGGCATCCCTTTTTCGTTCCTTGGAATCCCTGGTGCCTACGAATTTTCAAGAGATGTATACCATTTAATTTATTGGGCTGTGGCGTGTCAGCACCATATCCATTCTCGTAGGTTTTTATGAAAGTGTAAACGTCTAAGTGAGTGAGTGAGCGATGGTGGTTTTACGCCGCTTTTAGCAATATTCCAGCAATATCACGGCGGGGGTCAACAGAAATGGACTTCACACATTGTACCCATGTTGGGAATCGAACCCGGGTCTTCGGTGTGACGAGCGAATGCTTTAACCACTAGGCTACCCGACCGCCCGTAAACGTCTAAGACCTGCGCCGCTTCGGGATTTCCTTAAACATTAACCTGACACTCCGGATTACAACTCAAAGCATTCAAATCTAACTCACTCACACTAACTGTCACACGGCTGTCAAGAATCAATACATCTCTCAGCCACTACAGAGCACTGCGTTGGTACTTGTAGTAGCGCTTTTATTGACTCTTCATTTGCTTTGGAATATTAACTTCCAATTACCCCCAAAATGCTTTGTTGTCGAGTTTAAGACAGGAGAACCATGCCGTAAAATATATTGTATTCTACTGATATATACAATATTTTTTATCACTTCAAATATATATTTCTGATCATACGAGCACCTGATGTTAACACTGTAATTTGATGACTCTTCAATCAATTCAAGAATTGCCTTTAAGACCCCTTATGTCTCTAGATGTGGCCTGTGACATACAATTGCGTGTCCTGATTGTTGTTTAACGCCTCACTCAGCAATATTGCAGCTATGTGACGTCGGTTTGTAAATATATCGAATTTGGACAGGACAATCCAGTGACTGACATCATGAGCTTCACTCTACGCAATTGGGATATGATTACATTCATCAACATGGTCAGCGAGTTAGTTAGATACTTCCTGCGTCAAGCATGGGTTGCTGGAGACTTATTCTAACCCGGATCTTCACGGGTACGATAGCGTGTAGTGGAGTAACTTGATATGTATTATTCGGACGCTCTTCTTGACTGAGACCCATCTGTATGTAAGGCGTGGCGATATGTTTGTTTGTTGTTTAGCCGCACTCAGCAATATTCCAGTTGTATGATGGCGACCTGTATTGGACAAACCTGTTTTTGCCCAACGATCAACATCATCGGGGCATTATGCCACGCCCACAACCAAGTCAAATGCAAGTCAAATCATTTGCCTCTTGCAGCCACCATGGGTTTCTTGGAACCCGTTCTAACCAGGAATCCAAGCTTTTCAACACCTTCCAGCTAATATATTAATTATAGCGAAAACAGATCCTCGCAAAACAATCAAGTTATCTCGGACATAAAAAGACAACATAAAAACTGCGTGACATGAATGCGAATTTCAAAAATTGTTTTAAGGGTCACTGTACACAATTTCTATTTATGTAGATTTAACATCGCGTTTAAGATTAGTTCCCTGATAGAGCGATTTGCATGTACATTTGTAGTAGTGTGTGTGTATGTGTGTGTGTGTGTGTGTGTGTGTGTCTGTCTGTCTGTCTGTCTGTGTGTCTGTGTGTTCCATTATGTAGAACAAAATGACCCATCCTATGTTTAGTCCAGTCAATATAGTGCCAAATCTTACCAAACCCACTACAAATAGCAATCGACATAATTTCCCCTGTTTCGTGAACAGAAGGCATCCCATTACAACAAAGTAAAAATCCTGGATATATCTAAGTTAGGGAAAATTGTTTAGTTTGCGTATGATCTTTAGGGGGTAAATCAATATGAGATAAAAAAAAACAAATAATTATTCATTTTTTGTTTAACCATAACATAATTAGATATCAAATGAAAACTGGTATCACAAGCAGTACTTGTGTATCTTTAGTTTGTATCTATGTTGCACATGAGTAAAATAATCGGCCTCTTAAAACAAATGCGGGAAAAACACTTATATCCATATTTATTCATCAATATAGTTTTTGTTAGTCTTAACTATATTTATTCGATAATAGTAACAATTGTTTATTTGTTTGAAAACCTTCTTTTTCCTCTTAAAACGTATATGTCAAGTAAAGGTCATCAACATTTTGAATATAAGTTTCCCGACAAGTAGCACATCAGCGGCCATGTTTACCAAGGAGACAGGACACTATCCAGCACTTTTTGAAACCATTTGGTTGTTTTCATGTCCAGCAGGAATGTACCACTAAGTAGTTTACAAGATAAACCATCATCGATATCATAAACAAATTAAATGTTGTATAAAATTCACTTAATCATGAAATATATCAAGATAAAGAGCCCTATGTTTGTAAATGTTTCCTCCCAAACCTTTTTGGCTAATTACTACATACCTAACAACAAGTTCCACTTGAGTGATTAACCTGGAACAGAAAAGTTTTTTTTATTTAATCTTTTGCATTTGATAGTTTATAAAGTACTTTTCAAATTATGTTTTCTGGTTACTTTAATTATGTAATGTACCTTGAGAAGTTATACAATGGTGTGGACTGTATACATCATTCCAATGAAAATGGGCCTGGCACCTAAAATTTAATCAGACCATTACAAAAGTTACATTTTTCAACAAACCTGATTGTAATGTTGCTGTGATTATAATGATATATGTATTTCATAAGATCCTACTTCTTACATGTACTTCTAACAAGTTGATGATGAACAGGTCTCAGTTCAAGATCAAAATGAAGATGTGAAAGTGGCATTTGTTATTATATATAAAACAATAACACCATTTAGAAGTATTCTTTAAGTGATGACTAAGCGTCATACACTTCATTTTGTATATACATAATGTCGTAAACTATGATTTGTTTAACTGATATACTTCCCTTTGCTCCTCTGTTTAGTTGGCGCCCTTATGTTATTTTTTTTAGGGCTCCTTATACGAATATTACTGGTGCCTTAGATGATAATTTAAATGAATTGCAGCTAGGGAGCCTAAAAACAAATTTACATAATATGTGTAATTCAGTTTGCTTCAATATTGTCCCATTCGATGTGCCTTTTGAAAGGCTAGTGTAACAAACTGCTAATACTCAATAGCATTAAAACATTAAATCATGATAACCATTCATTCGTCTTCAATAAGTGTTGCTCTGTATCACTGACACTTGTTCACTGGAAAAGGAACAGACCATTAATCTAACTTGGATGCATGTCTGTGCACTTCCTGCTGCTCATCAGCGTGGATGCCCCTGCAAAGTGGAACGTCAAATGTAAACATCAGACCGGAATAAATGCTTCACCAATGACATGTACCAAAAGCCAGAAGCACAGGAAAGGTACACGTCCCGTGTGTTATTCTGACCTGCATGTCAGAGATTCGTGTATTTGTCTTTTATGTAACAATGGACCTCACTGGTCCTCACTAATTCGTCTTTGGCCACTCACACAGAGTAAATGTTTTCTATTTCTTATATAAAATGACAAAGGATTATTGCCTATCCAACCATAGTGTTATCGTGTTTGGCTTAATGAATAATGTTTAAATCATATTAAAAAGGAAAGAAAGCGACTTCACTTGTTATCTTGTTTATCTGACGGATATTTTCAGTGGGAAAATATATGTCATCAGCAGTATTCCATATAAAGGCGGTCTGTAAATAATCGAGTCTGAACAAGGCAACCCACTGATTGAATTCATAAGCATCGATCTACGCTATTGGGATACGATAACATTATCAAGTCCTTGCAGACAATTAAAATGTGTTCGACAGTAAATCTGTTATCACCCCTGATTTCATGTTGCATCTAATTGGGCGAATGTTTAAGAGTGCTTAAACGTGATGTTCGATTGCACTTGTTAACGGCGGCCGCTCCCTGAACAAGGGGAAGTAATCCTGTAGCGGATCATACGAAGCGATCGTACAATACTCATGAATGGAATTTTAGTAACAATACACAAGAAGAGATACGTTTGGAGGTTGATCCTTATCACCTTCAGAGGACATTTGAGGGATAAACCTTCTGTGT